AAAGATTGTTGCTGTTGTTGTTGTTGATGTTGTTATTGCATTTTCTGTAACTGGGTTTGGTTTCCTTTGGAACAATCTTGATGACTTTGTTCTGCAACGCCTCTTGACATTCTTTCCTCGGAACCTATGTTCATTAATCACAAGAAAGTCGACCCTTTGCATACGCCATTTTACACTAAATGTCTCTGTGGGGGCTCTCGTGGCTAAGAGGTTAAGGTGTTTGCCTATCATTCAAAGGTCCCGGGTTCGAATATATCCGAAGATATTTTCTTCTCTAAAATTGTCTCCTTTCACCTCCTTTCCTGCTCTCCAGAAATATTCCGTTGTGTGATTTCGTCTCCACCTTTTGCCCCCATCCCCTCACCTCCTTTGCCCCCTACTCTGGGCTCCTGGCTCTCTCTGCAGCCTTCCCACTGTTTCTTCTTGGCTCCTTCTTACCGCTGTCTTTCTACCACACCCCTGATCTTCTGGTAAGAAAGTCTGTATACACCTAGCCTTCTCGGACATGGACGAAAAATCTCGGAGGTCCCGTGTGCAAGCTGTGCACGTTACAGATCCCTTCGTGGTTCCCCCCAAAAATAAGACTAGGCTTCGCCTCCACCAGGGCAAAACTCAAAATTTCCTTCCAACTTAAAATATTAGGTGGGTCCCGCAGTTGCAAGCGCCGCAAAAAATTTTTTTAAAGAACGTCTCTGTTGTGCTAGGCGATAAGGCCAAAGCGTCTCACACTTTAAAATATACATTGTTGCTCTAACACCTTTTGAATACCAGCGTCTGTGGTGTAATGCTTAGGTGTTCTGCCACAGTAAGCAAAACACCCAAGTTTGATTCCCGTCTTGGGAGAGTTTTAACTGAATATCCTAAGTCAAGTCTGTCTGTTAAAACGTTATATTGCACCCCCCCCCCAAGTCCGGTTTGAAGTCCTCCTCCTTAATGATATAAATTGAGTCTATGGGGCTTGATAAACCGACTTTAAAATATAGACTTAAACTACAGTTTTACTGTGAACAGCACAAGCATTCATCCTGTGCATAAAAAGTAAGAGGAGACACAAGGACGATAGAGCAAAAAAACACCAGAGCCTCCGCCAATCACCCACTGCCTTTATCCATTGACGGCGTGGTGTCCCGTTCAGGTGACGTTCTTTGTTTACAACTCAGCCTAAACACAATCACAAAAACAAACGAAAACCCGATACAAAATATTGTAAATTGAACCCTTCTCCTATTCCCCCCCCC